TTTAACTGCGTCAGCAAGTTTACCAGGGGTCCAATGTTCTCCTTTCCTCCATTTCCAAACCCCAAATCTCCAATTCTTAATTCCCTAACACAAAATGTCAACAAGTCTTATAAGTATCCATGATCGACGCTGATTGTTTAGGTTTTAGGCCTTCAGGTGACTATTATGTTCTGCTGCCGCACATTCGTGTAAACGAAATTTGTTAGATAAAAATATCAAAAGTTCGCTGACATCGGCTACGATAAATATCATAAATTAGGTAACAAAACACATAATTAATATTGTATGACTAGGTCTTCTCTTCCACACTTAAAACACCTTGTATAAATGTAAAGAAGTTTATGAATACTATTTCATAATCTTTCTATTTCTATATTATGTAGAAAAACATACATTCCTGTAACAGTAAAATTTGTGCATTTGAAACTTAATTCAAGTTTGATGAATTTTGCACTTAAAGAGGCCGTGTACAGTAAATATCTTCATGCATAGTCAATATATTTTACAAAGATCTGACACTTTAAAATCGAACTATAGTGTAGTATAAGTATAGCAAACATAATGTGTTAGTTTTTATTAAGTCTCTCACAAATCTCGATTACTATATTTCTAATCAACTTTGTTCTGTACGAATAAATATCGTCATGAGGACACAACTAAACGGTTGATATCATCTGACAATTTACACACAAATCTTATCGTGGTATATTAATATCAGTGATCTATAACGGTGTTATGCATTTGTGGTTCTGAAAGGTAACTGGAGCAAGAACCGAAGTAGGTCATAAATCGATAAACCTGCACTACATAGTGATAGGTAGCTGTTCACTGTTCAGCCTACAACCACAGCTTATCTACAGTGCTATAGTGCAGCCGGGTCGTTTCCTTGATCCACTTTCTAACTAGCACGGGACAGTAGCTACATACAGCCTGTACTATATCGTGGTTTCATAGGAAACCATCAGGACTTGTGGTTTTAATTTCCTTTCCATTACCGGTCGTTGGAAAATTCTGAACCATTTTGTTCTTGTCATTTAATCAGTCCATCCTTAGCGAGAATTTAACTTTACCTTCCTTTAAAAATAATGATCATAACTAAATATAAAACCAGCCTTAGATTAGACCTTAATTTTAGCTTAACCTTGATAAGAAAGCGTCAGGGAATTTACGCAGAAATGACTATGTGTCCCAGTTACTAAATTCATTGTTAATTTACTTGTGCGTCAAGACTCGTGAGTTATCTGGAAACAAATTATATTATCACCGAAATTGCTATCAGTACAACGATTTTATGACCTACATAGCATGTAATAATTAATATTCTGGTCACAATAACCCACTTGAAAGTCAACTTAATCATGTCTGTACTATGATCAATACAACTTGCGTATGGGTACTAATCAAACCATGGCGGGCTTGGGCTTCAATCCATTCATGAATGTAAGTGCTTACGTCAGCAGTATTCCCCCCTAGGAGGCGCGGTTCCCCCCGGCATTAGCGCACAAAGGGAGGGGGTGTGACGTCAAACCTTCATGCAACAAGTGCCGATAGAAAGGTACCTAGGTATAAGACATGGTTATTTTTAGACTGCCGAAAAAGGTTCGGTTTCCTTTGTGACGGTAAGCACGTTTTGAGAACATATACTATAATATTTAATACATATATGCCTTGTGGTCTCGCATTATGAATGCGTGGGACCTGAAAAAATCTTTTATATAATTAATTTCAGTTGCGAGTAATGTAGATGTGGTCTCGAAGAGATTTCATTATAGCGGCCTGGAATGGAAGGAGACATTCTCATAAAATTAGTCTGGAAGTCGTGCCAAATATGGATTAATGGGATCCTGTAGGTACTTATATCCTTTTTGTATGGCATCCGACTATGTCATTTTATTGTAAAATTCTCTAGTATACCGACAAAATGTCAATACGTACGTAATAGAAAACGTTTGCAAAAAAAAAAAAAAATTCGATACTTATTTCTTCATTATGATAGTAATGTAACAAGACTAATATTTATTTGTGTTCGGCCTTTGTTTTTTACGGTCTAATTAGAATTTGTTCTATGATACAGATATGCTAATATCAATTTCAATTGAAACAAGAGGTCGGAGGAGTTAAAAACAGGCAATATGCTGTACATAAAAAATATACACGTGATTTCAGTAATTTGGCTGTAGAAAGTTGTAGAACTGTAAAAAATTGGTCTTTAGAAATTCAGTCTCCAGATCACGCCGAAGTTTCAAGAATATTGAGTACATGCAGTCTAAAAATAGATTTCAGTCGATCGTTACATGTAGACGCAATTATTTATCACTCCGAGGAGGCACGGTACCTCTTCCCTCTCAAACTCATCCCACTACTTCGAATTGCTTTACCGGATACACGTAGGTACATAAATTGAATAACAAAGGAGATTTTTTATTGACTACGAAAAAAAAAACAATTTTTTTGAGTATCCCTCATTTTTATAAAGAATTAAAATAAAGTATGTTGTCTTTAAATATTATGTTATCATGTGGTGACAGTGTTGCCATCTATGAAACAATTTTCGCAACATTTGCAAAGCTCACGTTGTTGTACGCTAGAACGTTGTAGTTACTCCACCCCAGGATTAACTGTTTTAGGCATAGAGGAAAATAATATATCAGGTTTGAATAATTGTATTTTATCGATAACTTTTAATGAAAAAATATCTAAAATAAATAATATAACACAAAACTCACGTTACATTCTCATACATTTTTTGTTAGATAGAGTTCAAATAATCGGAATAATATTTTTTCTTTATACTTAAGTTGTAAAAACGATAAAGTAATGTCTTTTACCTTCTATATGTGTTCACTATTAAAGCTCTTTCGAATTATCCAGCTAACAATATTTTACTAACCAGTAAAAATAAACGTTTTTTATTTTTTACCGTAGAAAATAAACATTGTTATTAACATTAACACTAAGTCAATTAAGATAAATGTACGCCAGTGCCATCTGTAGTAAACCTTGAGTTGTTACGTTAAAGCTCACGCTGTAGGCTGCCTATAGCAAAGAGTGAGAAAGCTCTCGATGATACCAAAAATCTTAAGTTTCCATCAGTGGCTGATAGATGGCTGTTATTGACGATGTAGAGCTTTCGCCATAGGTTCGAATTTTATTAAAAAAAATACATGGAAAATTATTTTAAAGCGAATTAAATAATTTTTGCCGCGAATTAGAAGTTGACGGTTATAACATGATTGTATATATAATGTACAAATAATTATATTCGTTTGTGAGAATGTGCGAATGTTGTTATTGTTTGTTATTTCTCATAAAACTAATAAAGTAAACACTAAAGAGTGTGATAATTTAGCACATACAAATATTATATTAAAAAAATAATACATAGGCTACTTATTACCCAATTAACACAATCTAATTGAGAATAAAAAAGATAAAAAATCCAATTTGACCGTCTTATTAGATTATTTTGCCTTTCCAATTGCATTTTTTATTTTTAAAATATGTAGTTTTTTTTACGCTTTGTATCATGATCTTGTATTACTTAATTTATTGGCAAATAAAATGAAACAACATTTACTGATTTGTATTATTGACAAAAAAAATTGACTGAGAATAAAATCATACCGCTGCGCATAATAATATGATATAATAACAGTTACGATCAAACTCTATGTGTAACTGTTAAAAAAAATTTAATACTTTTTCTACCCGCAAATCTAATCCAGTACTTTGACACTATAATATAGGGCTTATGCAGATATAGAGTGCATGTAACATTCATAATTCTTACAACGTCTCGTCTTTACAACTTAATTGCTTAATTACAGCGAAGTGCTTCTATCTGAAAGTCAAATGTTTTACAAATACACCGTGTAACATTGAGACCGCTACACATAGTTGAGATGGTAATTAAATAAACATTGTAGCAATTAAGCAAGCATTGTGTCAACGTGACATGGAACCTGTTACAGGTACAGCTGTTAGATGCGCAGTCGCACGCACCTCGTAGCTCAGTACAATAGACATCAACGCACGATTAAGTTATGTGAGTCCTACAATCACTCGGAAATACAACGCATTGTTATAATTTTAGGATGAAATTAAGATAATAGCTTTTATTTTTCAAATAATATAGAGTTTATCAAATATAAGGTAATCCCGAAAAAAGAAATAGGTAGGTAAATGATAATACAAATGTGATTTAGTAAAACTATACTTATATTTGTGTTATTCGTATAAATGTGTGAAAATTTAATATTGTATTTAAGGGTTTTGTGTAATCCATTAAGACAAATTCAAAGTTTATTTATAGCAGATTTTAACTTTATGCTTTTGTACAAATAAAAAACTTGCATTTTAAAAGATTACAAACTAGTTTTCGTACTAAATAACTATAGTTCTTACCTACCTAAGCACCCGTAAGCTTTCTTGGAATGGTAAAGTGACTCGTATCGAACAATAAATAGTAGAATCCTTCGACGTCCATTATCTCGGCATCATCATCACGCAGCTACAGTCGAGAGCTTTCAAAGCTGCGGGGGAGGTTCAATGCGACGGAGGGAGGGGCGCGGGCCGGCATGGAGGCCTCCGCCTGCCAGTGCCGCGCGAACTGCGACGCCGCCCGCATGCCGCATACAACGCGTTCTTCACTTGTCAAACATAACAATAAACATCACTGAAAAGTGCTTTTAAAGTGTGTTGCGTGTTATCGGGTGACTATCGTTATACGATTCGTGTTTAGTGCACATTGGGACATAAGTGTAAGACAACCATAGATAGTGTTTTGTCACGTGTTTACGAATGAATGTGACGGCGTAGGCGCAACCGCGGCGGGTCGCACTCTCCGTGAGATATTCGTGCGCGCGCAGGTCGTCGCGGCCATGCTGCATACCTGACGAGAGCGAGTGCGCGAGTCTGCGCGAACGGGACACAGCGAGCGCTCCCGGCTTGCATCAACTTTCCCTGACGAAGAACAACCCTGCAATGTTTTTGTCGGTGTCATGACGAGGATGGGACGATGGCACGTGGCGCTGGTCGCGCTGGCGGCGCTCCTGGGCGCGGGCGTCAGCGCCGCCGCAGAGCAGATGCAGTCCCGCGCCGTCGATACCGGCGTCGACCTTCGAGTGCCTGAAGACCAACCTGTAGGCACGGTTGTTGGCAGGATTCCTACTAAACCTGGTTTCACTTACCGTTTTAATGAGCCTCCCAAGGAGTTTGTCCTGGATCCGGTATCTGGTGAGATCAAAACCAACATGGTTCTCGATAGGGAAACAGTAGACCGTTATGCATTTGTTGTGCTATCTAGCCAACCAACTTATCCAATAGAAGTGCGATTACGGGTGACAGATGTGAATGACAATTATCCTGAGTTTCCGGAACCAAGTATAGCGGTGGCATTTTCCGAAAGTGCTGCAGCCGGGACAAAATTATTGCTCGACGCTGCCACCGATAGGGATTTAGGAGAAAATGGTATCACCAATGATTACAGAATAGTTGATGGTGATACCGAGGGGAAATTCCGTTTGAACGTAACCGTGAATCCAAGCGGTCAAACGTCTTATTTACACCTGGAGACAACGGGAAAGTTAGATCGAGAAACCACCGACTTTTACATTCTAAACATATCGGCGCGCGATGGTGGGAATCCACCAAAATACGGGTATTTACAAGTGAATGTTTCTATTTTGGACGTTAACGATAATCCTCCGATATTCGATCAGAGTGACTTTTCAGTGTCTCTAAATGAGAGTGTACCGCCGGGAACTACAGTTTTAAAAGTTACAGCCACGGATAGTGATTTGGGTGATAATAGTAAAATTACATACGAAGTGACCGATACGGAGAGACAATTTGCAGTGGATCCTGAATCTGGAGTGATCACAACTACAAAGAAGTTAAATTGCCCTAAGTATTGTAGTAACACTACCTGTAATATGACTTGCGTTCTTACTGTTATCGCAAAAGATCATGGTGTGCCGCGTCAAGATGCACGGACCTACGTCACTGTCAATCTTATAGACGCCAATGATCACGATCCTGTAATAACTTTCACGTATGTTCCTCCAACTGCCAACTTTGCCACTGTTGATGAAAATGCTAAAAATGGTTCCCTTGTGGCCGCCATTACTGTGACTGATTTAGATGCAGGTTTAAATGGTATTACTAGCATAAGCATAGTTGCAGGTAATGAACTCAACCATTTTCGTTTAGAGAATTCATCCAGTGTGTATATAGTGCATGTAAATGGTGTTTTAGATAGAGAAGAAATTAGTAAATATAATTTGACCGTTGTTGCCACTGACAGAGGATCACCTCCACGAACTGCTACCTCATTCTTAGTTATTCATGTCAATGATGTGAATGATCACGAACCAGTGTTTGAAAAATCAGAATATTCAACTGTTTTGACAGAACTTGCTCCTTCCGGATCATATGTGGCCAGTATTACTGCTACTGATGAAGATACAGGAGTTAATGCGGAAATATTTTATGACTTCTATGATGGTAACCAACAGCAATGGTTCACTATTGATCACTTGACAGGATTGGTTACTACAAAGTCTATTTTAGACCGCGAAATTCAAGGAACCGTTGAACTAAATGTCTCGGCAAGAGATGGTGGACCTAACCCTAAATGGGCATACACTAGACTGAAGGTAACTATTCTAGATGAGAATGATGAAGCACCGTGCTTTTCACAGCCACAAATCAATGCTACATTACATGAAAACATCAAACCTATAAAGGAAATACTAATTTTGACTGCGTCTGATTATGATCAAGGTACCAATGGGTCAGTATCATATTATTTACCTTCAAGCATAGAGAGAAAATATCCTAACACTTTCATATTGGATCCCATTACAGGGCAGCTTAGTACAGTGATTGAATTGGATAGGGAAAAGATACCTCTGTATGAAATTCAAGTACTGGCAAAAGATCAAGGTTTTCCACCACAATCATCTACTGCTACAATATTACTGAAAGTTCTTGATGTTAATGATAATGATCCAATGTTTTACCCTCAAAGATACATTGAGAGTATCAATGAAGATTTGCCAGTTGGAACAAATGTTTTACAAGTTAGAGCATTGGATTTGGATGAAGGTGAAAATGCAAGAATTATGTTTAGATTAGAAAGCGGCGGAGACGGCTATTTCGATGTAGAACCTTGGACAGGGAATGTAGTGTTACAAAAAGATTTTCGAAAAGCTCCAGAAACTGTTTACACGCTCAAAATATCCTGTAAAGATAAAGGAAATAGACGAGCGTTTGAAGATGCTATAGTAGAAATAGTAAAAACCTCTCAGCGTAAGAATCTTCAATTTGATGGCTATAACGGATATACTTTCAAAATTTTGGAAGATGAAGGCACTTCAAAGCCAGATATTGGCCGTTTTGTGGGAAAAGTTAGTGCTAGAATTTCTAGTGATACAATATCATATTTTATCTTGGAAGGAGATGTCAAACATGTTTTTAAAATGGATGAAAAGACGGGTGTGATAACGACGGATTCTAATGTTGACCGTGAAGACAAAATGACGTATCACTTGAAAGTGATGGCAAAGACAGGGGTTGCTTTCGGTTTTACAACTGTGAACATATCAGTTTTAGACGTCAATGATAACTACCCAGTATTTATTGAAGATAAGGATGAAATTCATATCCCTGAAAATATGGCTGTTGGACAAGAAGTTTATTTTGCCAGAGCTACAGACCGTGATTCAGGTTCTAATAGAACAGTTTTTTATACGCTCAGTTATAATCCTGAAAATAATTTTAGGATTTCAGAAACCACAGGAGTTATTTATTTGAATAAGCCAATATCAAGTGAACCAGGCTCTGTCCTTTTTATCGAGGTGACCGCTACTGATAACGGTAGTCCAGCCCTTGCCTCAAAGCATTCCATATCAGTGGTTATTGATGATGTCAATGATCATACTCCAGTATTTGATCACACATCTTATGAAACATCTCTGCTTGAATCTACTTTAGTAAACACAAGATTTTTTGCGATATCGGCATCGGATGCCGATCTAGGACCTAGTGGTAGAATTTCATATTTCATCGCTGAAGGAAACACTGATGGCAAGTTTGGTGTATTTCCTGATGGTTATTTGTATGTCAAAAGTTTATTGGATAGAGAAGAACGTGATTACTACTCATTAACGATAATAGCGACCGACCATGGTAAACCAGCAAGATCGTCACAAGTGCCAGTCGTTATTCATGTTCTCGATGAAAACGACAACAGTCCACAGTTTACAAATACTACGTTTATATTCAAAATTAAGGAAAATGAGCCACCAGACACTTTTGTTGGAAAATTAACAGCTACAGACAGGGACATCGGTCGTAATGCGGAGTTGACGTTTTCTTTACCTATTGCTCAAAATGATTTTAGAATTGATTCAAGAAATGGATTTATTAAAACATTGAAATCATTTGACAGAGAAAGCTTGGCACAAATCACGGGTCAGAACTACATTACATTAACTGTGACTGTTAGTGATAACGGTAAAGTTAAATTGTCGGATTCCGTAAGAGTTACGATTTACATAACAGATGTCAATGACAACCCGCCTGTCTTTACGCGCACTCCGTATAAGGTTGAGGTATCCGAAGGTGCCGCTGTGGGAGCTTCTATTATGCGAGTCTACTCCACAGATGCAGATGAAGGTCTGAATGGTGACATTTACTATAAACTGATTGGAGGTGACGATTTAGGAAAATTCGCTTTAGACGAAGCCACGGGACAGTTACTTATCAATAAGCCATTAGATCGTGAAACAATGGATCACTACAAGCTTACAGTATTGGCTCATGATTCCGGTCAGATTGTCCGTTTATCAGCTACAACGACAATCACAGTAAATGTATTAGATGAAAATGATAATGCACCAGTGTTTACTCAAACACAAATGAAAGTGTCCGTTCTTGAAACCGAGCCAGTAAATAAGAAGATAATTCAGTTTCATGCTACCGATGCTGACTTGGGTATAAACCGGGAGTTGCAGTTTTCAATTACGTCAGGAAACAGGAAGGAAGCTTTCTTTATTGACAGCTATTCAGGTGAATTATTTTTGCATAAGCAATTAGACTATGAAGACTTGACTTCATACGTATTGAATATTACGGCCACAGATAACGGGAATCCAAGCTTATCATCCAGTATATTATTTACTGTAAATGTAATCGACGCAAATGACAATGCACCTATATTCACCAACACAGCTATTGTACGACAAATTAGAGAAGGTATTCCGAAGCACACTCCCATAGTGACTGTCACCGCAGAGGACCCAGATTCTGGCTTAAACGGCAAAGTTTATTATTCGATCACGCACCAAGACCCTAATGACAGCAAGCGGCACTTTGCCATAAATAACATAACCGGGGTCATACATACCTTATTGCCTATTGATAGAGAAAGTATTGACACGTTTAGAATAACTGTCGTCGCGTATGATAGAGCCGAGCCTCCATCAGCGCGGTTATCTGCTGAGAAATTAGTTACTGTAATCGTTGAAGATATTAACGACAACGCTCCAGTTTTCGTATCTATGAATGCAGCCGTGATCAACACCGAGCGACTAGGAAGAAGCGCAGGCCGTGGAATATTTATTATGAACGTATTAGCCCGTGACTTAGATTCAGGAACAAATGGATTGGTCACTTACAAGCTTATCCACGGCGGCAATGATCTATTCGATCTGCACAGAAGTAACGGGGCATTGACTTTACGTTATCCTCCGGCGACACCAGAGGCACGTTGGAATTTGGTCATAAAGGCTACGGATGAGGCTGTTTTGAGTGAACAAAAAAGTACTGAGGCCTACCTCACGGTGATTATGGGGGGTTCAGAGCTACAGGGTGTCACTTGGACTAATGTAGGGTCGGTATCCGTGGCTGAAAACGAACCCGCGGGTACAGCAGTGTTAAACTTGACTAATAACTATAAATCCGGTTTAGAATATTACATAGTGAATGTGACTGGTGATGGTAGACAAGTGGACAGGTTGTTTGACATAGATTCGTCACTGGGAATATTATCAACGGCAGTTTCTCTGGACCGAGAAGCTGGTGTGGATCGGTACGAGGTGGAAATATGTGCAGTCTCGTCGGGGACACCTTTAAAAACGACAACAACCAAGGTAAGTTGAAAATAAAATAATATAATTAATTGGACAGATTGTATGGTGGTATCGAGTGATTTTAAGCGTTGTTGTACAGTTAACAATTCAAAGCGAACAATCCAATTAACTTGGCACAATCGCCGGTAGAGACAAAACATCGGCACCGTACTGTTGGTAAAACAAAAATAAATAAAAAATGTATGCTCGTTAGCGTATGTCGGCCGGCGCAGTCTAATCGGGGGCTCTAAATTACGATAAGTCGCGTCTCGCAAACGATATCAGAACACTCGTTCTGAAACCTTCCAAAGATTAACTGTTCGTGAAACATGACTTTGTTTGTTATACGTATCATTTCATTATTTTATCATCTGCAATTTAATATCGTCCATAATGATTTTATGTTAAAGATATTTTCGTTTAATTCAGTAATCTTCAAAAAGGTAAGATGTCGCTAACTAAGAGTCTTATAGATAATTTAAAAAAATATTCAACGAAATTTAGCAACATCCAACTCAATAATAATTTCACCTCCGAACTCGAAAGCCATTCCCGGTCACAACTTTTAAGCGCAATTTCGTATTTGCGAGAGAAATAAAAAGTACCTAAAACTGGTCGCGCGCTCGTAAAAGATCTCGTCACATTACGATTACGATATTGTACCTCACCTTTTGACGAATAAAATGTTGAACCTGTGACATGCGGGTGTGGCCACTTTACACCGTCCATTTGCAATCCGTCGTTTTATGTAAAACTACTTTGCTAGTTTTTCTTAACTTACCGTATAAGGGAATCACTATCATACAATTGCTCTATAAACTGAGTATTTTCATAAATAATTATTTTCACTATAAAGAGATGAATGCATGATAATTAATATAGTCATAAAACAAAGCGTAAGAGCTACGTTACAGATAAAAGTTGTTATTAAAATAAATTAATTCAGTGAAACAGACGCAAGTGTTGGTTTTAGTACTCGTACAATTATAAATGCTTATAAAAATGGAAGTGTGACTAGATTGAAGACTGAATGACGCGTTCCTAAGTGACTTCAGGAGACATTATCAGTCGACTACGTAATGGTTTTGTCATAAAGCTGTTGCTTACGACATCAATAAAATTTACTTCAAGTTGATTCTACGTTCCAATCTCGGCAAAGAATTGCAGTTGTTAGATTTTTGCAAATAATTCCCGGAAACCATTCATATGTATACTATGTACTCTACCTATTTGCTATGTTCCACCAAAATGTTACAGAACAATATTTTTGACAATAACTAAGCTGTGTAAGTTATAGCTTAAAAACTCCTTGCTGATGATGTGACTATTTACTATAAGTAGGTTTATTTTTTCCTACCTCTTTGGGGGTAAAGGGAATGTAACACAATATCCATATATTAAAATATATCAACAAATAAAACTGGATGAAATATTTTACGCCTTTAAAGCAGTTATCTTTAACGGGTGCCCGAAATGTCCTTACTTACAGTAAAAACTTTAAGAATCCCAGAAATAATAAAAGGGTATTAAAATTTGCTTATTTGAATATACGAATCGAATATCTTACTTAATCGACGGCAAGCGATTGGTCGTCGAGTGAGAAGTGTCACATTTATTACTCAATATATTGTCATAAAACAGTACTTTTTAACAACATTTTATTTTATAATGCGGAACCTCGTTATTTCTTGCTGATTTACATACAATTAGGTGTTTCTGCCTTTATTTGGTCGTATACATATATCGGTTGTAACAGCGTGGTATGGAAAATTACTGAAATCCTATATTTTTTCCACAATGAAATTTACGAAGTATCTTCAGAAATGGCTTTCTTAAAAATCTTCATTTAATTAATAAAATATCATTTGACTGCCTCTTCATCGTTTATGAATCGGAGGTGCATGTTAATGATTGACGTAGATGAAATTTAAAATTGAATCAAATTAATAAATTAAGCATTTTACCACCTCCATATAAGTTTACGATAAGCTCATGTGCCACATCTATGTTGTTCATATTGGCCGTTCATACACTACGAAACAAGCCCTAAATGTATCCTAAACATGCATATTTGTGTCAAATGACAGGTGTCATATTATTATACATAAATTTGAATGTTCCCAACCCTATTCTGTTTTTTCAATTTATGATCATTCGTGAGTTAGAAATGTCAAGTTTGAGAAAAGGATCCTAATTATTTTTGATGATTGTAATCTGACAAGTGGTCGGGTGCGGTCAGGAGCAAGTCGGAGCACATGTGTCCATGTCCACGCACCGTTACGGGTCAGTGTACAACAAATTTGAATTAATTAAGCTATATCGCGTAACGATGGGAACCAACGATTACTGGCAAAATTAATCTTTTGTTTTAAAGTTCTTTCAACGTTTTGTAGGAAAAGATACCATCAAACGGATTACTCATGCGTTTCCGATCTAAAATGATAGGCTCCACGTCCAGACCTTAAATGTGTGCCATATACGAACACACATGCACTTCCCAATGTACGAGCTATTGATGTGAATCATCATTTTGGTATCTCTTGCGTTGTTATCTGTTCCGTGCATCAACTTACCTAGAACATAAAACATACCATGCACCAGACTTTGCGTAACTTTAAAATTCGCAGAAAGCGCCGTTTTTTTGTTGCTGTCGTCTCAATTATTATTGCATTTTTAATCGCAGAAGCCATAAGATCATTGGGGGGTATGATTGTGTGAAAAGGAGCGATTTCAGGTAAGAAGGGGAGGGGGGTGACTATCAACCGACACCGAAAGCGCATTAGGGCGCCGGGCTGCATTCCCGGGACTGATTTATGCAACTTGCACCCGCCGGCTCGGCCATCGACACCCGCCTTAATGAACGTACAACGTTACGTTATACTGTGAAATGGCTTTCATTATTTCACGCCAATACTAATAGTCCTGTGTCTACGCGCCGCGTTTAACCCCTATTCGCGTAATGGTTTCTTTATCTTTTTTTAACCGGGAGAAGTTAATAAATATTGAAGATATGAATGTTAAATGCGAAGCACAGAGCAAACTTGAAACATTATAGTAATAAATTTGGTTTACGTTGCACTGTCTACGTGCTTTGAATAGTAATTGTTTGCTGCGTATCTTGAAGTGGTTAGGTGTCAAAGACTTGCTACAGTTTCTTGTGAGATGATGTGCGCGCCAATTGTCTGTATTCTAAGAACACCTTCGCATTGTGTTTTGCCATCAATAGAAGTTCGTCAAACTTGACAATATGCTTAGATTTTTCCTAATTCCCACATCAGAGCGGAAATGACATTCTTCAGAGCAGACACAAAAATCGATGACTCCGATCGACAGAGCGCGTCGCTCGGAATTGCCGATTTACCGTCCAACCGTTTTTAAGTTATTAGCGTTTCGGTTTTTATCAATGAATTTATTGGTGGCCAGCCAAACGTGCCGATTGGAAGAAAACTTTAAATGTTAAATCAACGTTTATTTTAACCTGTTACCCCGCCTAAATGCGTTCCGAGGCGCAATTGATAATGAGTTTGGGTGGCACGTCACCTAAAAGCCTTATCACGTGAAAAAAAAACACTCAACTTACCTTTTCGAAGGTAAATAAACAAGTCTTTTAGTTTTATCATTAAAACACATTAAGTGATTTCCGTTCTTTAGATATAACTTACATGCTATCATGAGTGATGATTACGCTTTGGAGATGACCAGTAGCTAATTAATTGCTAATTATAATCTTTTTCATTTACAAGTTTATCTCGCATGTTGCCGGGTTCCCTGTTTATCTAAATAGAGTTTGTAAAACAGTAGAGGCGCGTTCGAAGTCTAAACTCCTAATGAGTGAACACACAGTGACAATAATCAACCAATTATAAGGCTCGTGTCACACGAATGCATTTGCCATTATATTGGTATAATCGGATAGATAACGGCTGACTGACAAGTTGCCGAAAGACGTCAGTCGTGACTGGAATCGCAGTATCCTAAGTGAAATCCTACGCTGTACCATTTGAGTTAGTTGCGTAAATCAGCGAAATCGTGCGAGGTTTAAGTTTAGTTCGGTATCAAATTACTTACACAGCCCTAGTTGCTTAATTCTGCAACCATAATGCTAAATATTATTTCATTTAACTGTAATTGCATTTTATAATATTAAATAATCTTCTATTATTTTCCGTTGAAAACATGCAACTGTACTTTACGGAGCCATTCTTAATATAACGATATTTTTTTTCTACCCAATTCTAGAACGTTTTTCAAGAACTATTTTCGAAGTCTTTGAAATTCTTTGATTCTTATTGAGTGATAAATGAAATAAATCTACTACAAAATGAGATTTACTTAGACACTACAATCAAAGTCACGCATACCTAAATACACATATCGAGACAAAACTATTACCAACACAAAAGTTAAAGAAAATGCATTGAGAACTGCACATTTGGATACAGAAAACAAGATAAGGGTAAACTTAAACAAGGTACAATTTGTTTACAGAAATTGCAGAATCACGCTCCATTTAGTTTATGTTGGAAAATTTAAATCGCCGCGTTGTCTATGCTCTTGTCGACTTTAGTATCTGTATTCTTAACATTACAAACGTCACTCAATCAAGTAGTGTATAAAATTAAACATTCTGTTGATAATCTTGTAAAATAGTATTTTTATTACTGAACTTAGTAACAATTAAGAAGTTGGGCAGGTTTTGATGAACAATAAAATACAAGAGTTATTACTTTGTGTTGACAGTTGACAGAAGTGATAACTTTATCGAGACGGTTTCCTATTAATGTTGACACCTCGTCATTGCTATTTTTTTTGTTTATATCATAATAATTGAAAATATTATAGTTTGTTAGGGAAACACAAATTAAAATGGTTTTTCTTATAACGACAGGCGCGTTTCATTTAATCTACCATGACTAGAGATAAGTTGGTTAATTCACTCCAGGACACATTTTATATGTACAAATATTATTAAGAGATGATAAATTTGTAGGTGCTAATATAATATCTTAATAAAAATTGCT